CAGCAGCAGCAGCAGAAGCAGCCATAATCAAATAAATCATAAGCTGTTCCTTCATAAACTCATCCAGCTTAGTTCTTCTAACTGATTCGTTGACTTCGCAACACTACCACTTCACTTGAATGCAACGAGGATTGCAGCAAACTTATTAATCATTCTATCGTTTCATCGCCGAATATTCACTTAGACATGCAAACAAAACTTATTACGAAACACTCCAAGTGAAATGATTCAATGCATCACGTCTGTAATTGCGTTTTTTTGCCTGCCAGTGACTTTATTCACCAGCTAAATCAATGCTGATGAATGCACACTGATTTAGCAATGTCCAATTAAATTGCGATGATCAATGATGACATTCCAGGCATTCAGGATGGATGATGGATAGACGGATAAATGCCGTTCCCTCTTTGCTCTCTCTCATTTTACTATTTTAGCAATTTCCTATAAGCAAATTCCTATCAGTCAAGATCATGAGGCGTTGAAAAATGTTGACAAATGTTTTTTGATGTGATCTATGGAGAATTTTCGACGGATTTTGATTCGTTTGAATACACACGTCACTTAACGCAGGAAATACATGAAATGAAGCAAATCTTACAAAGTAAAGCAAACGTTTAGGTGAAAGTGCGCCTTAAACGCCATTACTTTAAATATTAAACATGGCGGAAAATTTTAATATGAAAGTGGTATCATTATTCAAGGAAGCACCAAAAATATACATTAAATATGCGCCTATTTTTCGACCTCATGGAAAATGGATCTTACAAAATTCGATTCNCCATGAACAGCATCTCCCTGTATCAGTACATTAACTGAACCACCACCGATTATGCGCAAATTGCACTTCTAATCCCTCGCACTTCAGCGTAATTCTCAAGATGCAAAACATCAGCTATTAACAATGTCATAAAAGTTTCATCGCTTAATTATGTCAGCACTTTCCATGAAAGTAGAGCATTCAAATCGTTTAATGATCGCTTGCAATGGTGATCATATGCGTACAAATTTCTAAAACTTAGATTCTTCGTCCCATCGTAACAGAACAGCTTTTGATGACTACGAATCAGTCAGTGAATAGTTTTCTCACTCACGATTAGTGCTTTGTTTATTGTAAATAAGTTTACTGCACTAGTTGATTATCTATGAAATTTGCAAGCTACTCTACGATGACACTCCAACATTTGATATGAAAGTGCATTAAAATTTTTCACTAACCACTAAAAGAATAACTGTATTTCTTTTTTTTTTGCGATATTTATGTCATAAGGAAAAATGAGATAGCTGTGATGTTGGACGGAGAGCCGTGCACTCGCAAGTTGCTCTGATTGTTGAATAAATAGACAAATAGATAAACAGACTGAAAATTGTTGTGTAAATGATTATTTCGCGGGGCATATGCATTAGACGATGTCACGCTCAACTTACTGTCAAAGAACAACGATGTTTTATCCATTGTAATTACTGTTGAGAGCCGACTTTCTGAGGTTTCCTTCAGTATTATCAATATGGCTTCAAAGCAATAACTTTTTTTGCATTTGGGCAATAAATGAAATGAATCAACTGATTATGAAATAGAGTTGTGTACGTACCTTTTCAATTAGTTGTTGTTGCATCAAATAAAGTTGATCCTCAGGGATGCCGCATTTATCCAATCGCGAATTCTTTCGTTTCAGTTTATTTTCAGCCGCGATTTTACACTCGTTCAGCACACTGTCCGCCGCTTCCACGTAATCGTATGGAAAGCCCAAATTCGCTAACGCTGAAACAATGCGTAAATTCAGCGATCCATGAAAGTACTTTTATTACACGAATGATTCGTTTCATTCTTTCAGTGATTAGTGAAAATTATGTGGTATTCTCAGTTCGATTATTCATCCATTGAAGAAGCTACAGTGCAAATGCATGACAATGAGTGCACTTTGAATTTCTTGCGATATCCACTGAATATACCTGAGAGCTTATAATTAATTATATATCCAAGAGCTTATAATTAATTAAAACATTCCCATCTGTAAGATCTTATCGAGATTCCAATGCACCTTTGTTTTGAACTAACATATGAAAAGTTCCATTTAAATATAGTGAAACATTCAAGAAAACAAAATACACTTAAGACAGGTATATACATAAAATTGACGATGTTTTGAAACAATAACAACTGTTTCTAGAAGACTGAAACTTCACATTCACTTTATGAGCATTCAAGATCGGAAACGCATCAACAATTTCATCACAAGAAAATCCCTGCATGATTGAAGTGATTCTTGGATTACAATCCATTAATATGAGACATGATGATAATATGCTTACGGTAATATGCTAAATCTTAGCTGAATTCCACAATCGAGGAGACTGCACGAAGAGAACATAAATGATTTAGTGACGATATATTATATTATGGATAATCCAACTGATGCTTTCATGTTCTCTTTAATCTTTCATGTTCATTTTAAAATCCTTCTCAATATGCTCCTTCCCTAATTCATAGATCTTTTACAAGTTCTTGACACTCATCAGCTGCTCTTCAAGCAGTACGATTAGTTTTAAGAATAAGCATTCTTTAACGATCACAAAGCAAGATGCTTACGTATATATGAATGAATGATAATACTGCTTCAAGCTTAAGTGTAAACAAAGAGTGGAAGTGCAAACTGACTGCATTTATCAGCTGAGAACATCAGACGTTGAAGCGGAAGGAAGTACGCAGCTCACAATCAGTACATATCTCATTTGTCTTGCGATAAACGTTTTACATATCGCTGCTCCTTCAGTGCATATTAAACTCTGAACAAATATGAAGAGTAAACCTGGAAGATGTGCTTGAAGATAAGATACCTTATATTGGCTGATTGGATGGGTATTCAGTAAGCCCTATTTCAGTGAGATAATAAACAAGATTAGACAAGCATGAAAATATTTAAACGATAAGCGATTTTGTTGATGAACCGGATTCGAGATGAGTGTGTTGCGAGGAATAACCATTGATGTATGTGGGAATATAAGAGCAACTTTTGAGTAATGACAAATATTCAGTTCTGATTTGTACGGTACTTCGCGGAGAATAAGTTCTTAAATGTATTATTCAAGATAAATGCTCTCAGAGAAAATGATTTGAGTATATTTCAAGACGCGTCCGACTTGTGTTGACTGATGTCATACCGAGAAAAACAAGCGTTCTTAACATATCTTGTGGATGAATACTTTTAGAGGTGTTCGTCTGGTGCGTTCTTGTAATGTTCATAATACGCTTTATGTGAATAAAAATCATCCACTTCTGGCCATCTTAGTCAACTAGACAACACATTCATTGACTGCATTCGTCACGCATTGGCCATTAAATATCTGAACTGATATGTGATCAATTTCCTGATTTCTTTATGCGGGGAACAACACTCATTTGTATTATCATACGAGAGGTACGTCAGATTACCATACATCTAAAAAGACGAGATCCACTGTGACCGAAAACAATCCCTTGAAAATAGTATTGATATGGCATATGCTAATCCCTAACACTATTCACCAATTCCAAAGTGCAAAGAAAAACGTGCAGATGGATGAAAGGTCGATGCACAGTAAGATAACATCAATTAGAAAAATTCTGCATATTTCGAGTACACTTCCACTTCTTTCATTTGCTCTCATCGCTGCATTTCACAGTGTTTAATGAAACGCACCAATTCATTTAAACGCCCAAAAGCATTATCCATTCACCAAATGAGCGATAAATGCCAATATAACTGTGAATAAAACGCACTAAATGAGTTCGGTTCACATTTGCGAATGGATTCTCGATTGCCAAAATGAAATGTGACGGTGACAGTTTTTATGCTCTACGTAGATGAGATGATGTTGGAAGATGAATTAATTTCAGCTGATTGGATCTGGATATAATCGAGAAACTGATAGCCAAAAAATTCTTCGGAAGCATAATTACCAGCTGAGCAAAATCTGAATCAATCGCACACTAGTTTTATTTTGATAAAAGGAACTTTTTTGAAAAATCCTTGAAATGTGCATTTTCTAAAGAATGGAAATCAGCTCCAACGCATCTGATCGACAAAGATTTTTTCTACAGAAAATTTAGTTTTTGTAAATTTTTCACAGATTTCTCTTTGGTTTTCCGAGAAGAATCATCAATTGTAAAAGAGTCTCCAACATTGAAACTCAACTATTTGATAGATCTTTAGGGACGAGGAAAAAGGAAACCTTCACTTGCTTCTCTTATCTCTACTTGTTCCAACAAAAACTTCACCAATAAAAAGATTTTCATAACTTATGAGAATGTCAACTTTAGTCGCGACAATAATTACACATCGGCAAGTGCACATCATAAAAAAACAATCAACAAAAAAAGATCCTTAAAGGCCAAATATCTCGCATCTTCGCACGATCAACAAGATATTTTCGTTATTAAACGATGAACAAGGAGCACAGAATCATTTAAATTCAACAGAATTCTTCCAAGCAGTCAATGAGTTCAAAGCACAGAATGTCAATTTATCGATAGTTTATTGACACAAAATGTCACTTTGTTCATAACCTAATCTAATCTGTTTGCTACGCTTTTCGACGCTTTACGCCTTCTCGCAACCAGTGAATATGAAATGAAATCGATAGCTCTAAAGAATTTCGTAACGATTCTGATACATGAGGTACAAATCGAAGAGTTCCCTATCTGAATTAGTTTTCTTTTTTTCGTTCTGCTTTATGCTTTATCGAGCCCTACACAATTCAATTAGAATGTGTTCCGTCCGCTTCTAAAAGATTCCAAAAGAAAACATTCGGTCATTAATCATAGCTTGTTCGATGCATTCATTCGCCTCATGAACTACGAACCAATTTTGCTTGATAAATAGTTATTTTTCGTCTATGGTGTTTCCGTACACTGTGCAATTGAATGGATTCCATGACATATTCCATTCGATCTATTCGATTGCATTGAAATTAATATGCACCAAGTTTGTGGCATCATACATGAAGCGCATAACGCGTTGTCGGTTAGTATCGCGTAAAGAAGAAATCAGAATCAGCCACAACAAAATACTTTTAAGTGTCGCAAAATGAAATAAAACTTTTGGATTTTGCATATTGCATTTATTCACGAATCAAATGGTCAGTGGATAATAGATCAAAAATGGAATCTCGAGGAAATACCTTTTTGGACGTGTTCATGATAAATGGTTTTGCGTTGATCGTGCGCTGAGATGCGTTGTGCTTCACGAGCCACATGCTTAACGAACTCCACGCAACACGCGTTCAACAACTCACGAGATTCATTCGCAATCCGCATATCCGGTATCACGTCTTTGATGATCATATTCAGACCTTTCTGCGGTAGGCCTACCTCGCCTTCTTCATCGGTCATCCTGCTGCTGCT